TTACAATTGCAATTATTTATGTAATTATTTATGTAATATCTTTCTTCTCTATCAGACTAGATAAATTCCATTGGGAATAGAGACCACATCTGTCCCATTCATGGCTGTTTTAGAACACAGCATGGTGCCTGGAACATAACGGGACCTAGGGAGTGAGCACACAAACTGCTCACAAGTGCAAACACAAGTGTGAGTGCATACCATGCCCCTGTGCAAAATGAATAAATAAATGAAAGTGCTAGAAGTTAAATTCTGCCTCATCTTATCTCTCACCTTCCCTAGAACTAACCACTTGGAACCACTCTTGGCAGAGAGCATTATTTCTATAAAATTATAATGTTAGGCCAGGTGCAGTGGCTCACTCCTGTAATCCCAGCACTTTGGGAGGCTGAGACTGGAGGATCACCTGAGATCAGGAGTTCGAGACTAGCCTGACCAACATAGTAAAACCCTGTCTCTATTAGAAACACAAAAAAACTAGCCGGGCGTGGTGGTGGGTGCCCGTAATCCCAGCCACTTGGGAAGTTGAGGCAGGAGAATTGCTTGAACCCGGGAGGCAGAGGTTGTAATTAGCTGAGACTGCACCACTGCACTCCAGCCTGGGAGAGAGCGAGGCTCCATCTCAAAAATTAGTTAATTAATTTAATTGTAACGTTAATTCCACTGGGCAAGCAACAATCAAACTGAACTTGCTTTTGACGAGCCTTGGAGAAATCCAGTAGGAATTATTAGTCAAACTCCAAAGCTTTCAAGAAATACCCTAGGATTGTATCAAGTAGAGCCTGCATTCTCAGCAGTCTTAAGGCCAGGCCACTCTTTACCTCACACGACAATTACTTGTGCACAGATCTTCCCTGCAAATCCAAGTCATCTAATTTACCTTTCAATCCTTCAAAGCCCTTGCCACTTGGCATTCAAAAGATGCTGCAGGAAACAATGCAATTTTGTTTTAAAAACAAAAATAATCACTAACGTTTACTGAGTTATTTAGGCCAGGAAATATGACATAATAAGTCTATATATGAACTATTTAAATTACTTGTCACTACCCTGTGATGAGAAAGGGCCTTTACAGAGCTTACTTCCACAAGGTTCCACAACTATTAAGTGGTAAAGTAGAAACCTCAGCCAGACACTCGGACCTCAAAGCCAACATCCAGCCACTAGAAAAAATGCTTTCAAGTCAATAATAACAACCCAATTTTTAAAAGGGCAAAACTAAACAGATACTTCACAAAAAGACATATGTAAAGGGCCAATAAGCCCATGGAAAGATACAACATCATTAGTCATCAGGAAAATGCAAGTTAAAACCACAATTATATACCATTCCACATCCATTACAATGGCTATTTTTTTTTTTTTTTTTTTTTGAGGCAGAGTCTTGCTCTGTCACCCAGGCTGGCATGCAGCAGCACAATCTCAGCTCACTGCAACCTCCACCTCCCAGGTTCAAGCAATTCTCCTGCCTCAGCCTCCCGAGTAGCTAAGACACGCCACCACACCCAGCTAATTTTTGTATTTTTAGAAGAGACGAGGTTTCTCCATGTTGGCCAGGCTGGCCTCGAACTCTTGACCTCAGTTGATCCACCCACCTCAGCCTCCCAAAGTGCTGGGATTAGAGGCCTCTGCCACTGCGCCTGGCCAACACACACCCATTAGAATGGCTAAAAGTAAAAAGACTAACAATTACAATGTATCAATGAAGATGTGGAAAAACTGGAAAACCTACACTGTGGTGGGAGTATAAAATAATATAAACACTTCCGGAAATGCTCTGGCAGTAGCTTAAAAAGTTAAATAGACATAAAACCTAGTAATCTCACTCCTAGCAACTTTACTACTAGGTATTTGCCCAGGAGGAATACATACCTAGGTCCACATAAAGATTTGTTCATGAAAGTTCCCAGCAGTTTTATTCATAATAGCCCCAAACTGGAGACAACCCAAATGTCAATCAACAGGTGAATGGACACACAAATATTGGTATATTCACACAATGAAATTAGAAGTTACAAATCACTGATAACAGAAAAAAACAGCTGAATCTCACAGATCTATTGAGCAAAATAAGCTAGACAGAAGAGTACACACTATAGTGTTAAAAATAAAATCAGTGTGAATGGGGACAACACTGGTAGAAATGTTCTATAGAGTCATGTGCCACATATGGTCAACAACGGACCATATGTATGATAGTGGTCCCATAAGATTATAAATACCATATTTTTATTGTACCTTTTCTGTGTTTAGATGCACAAATACTTGCTACTGTGTCACAACTGCCTGCAGGTTTATACAGATTTATAGCCTAGGAACAAGAGGCTGTATCACACAGCTTAGGTGGGTAGTAAACTATACCACCTAGGTTTGTGTAAGTACACTCTTATCATATTCGTAAAGGGATAAAATCACCTAATGATGCAGTTCTCAGAATGTGTCCCCATTGTGAAGTGACCCATGACTGTATATTGATTGTGATGGTGATTATACAGATGAAATATTTATTTGTCAAAACTCATTAAACTCTACATTCAAAATCTGTGCATTTTATTGTCCCTACATTTGATTTCGATTAAGTTGATTTAGAGAAAAAAATGTGACAGCAAAATACTGATAAATCCAAATGTTTATCAATAGGATAGTACTTAAATAAATTATGATCCATATAATAAATTCTATGCAGCTGTGGTGAAGGAGGAGGAGGGATGCCAGTTATTGCTATGGAAAGATTGCTGAGATATACAGTTAGGTGAAAAAAGCAAGACACAGATCAGTGTGCATAGTATGCTACCTTTTGTGTAAAAAAAAAAGTAACTACATTCACTTTGGCTTGTATATGCAAAAAGAAACTGAATCAATCAAGAAGAAATTTGGAGAAAATAAACCACAAATGAAAAACATTATTTTCTTTTTTTTTTAATTTTCCTTTTCTTGAGACGCAGTCTTGCTGTGTTGTCCAGGCTGGAGTGCAGTGGCGCCATCTCAGCTCACTGCAGCCTCCACCTGCCAGGTTCAAGCTATTCTCCTACCTCAGCTGGGATTACAGGAACCATCATGCCTGGCTAATTTTCATATATTTAGCAGAGATGAGGTTTTGTCATGTTGCCCAGGCTGGTCTCGAACTCCTGACCTCAGGTGATCCACCCACCTCTGCCTCCCAAAAATGCTGGGATTACAGGCATAAACCACTGCGCCCAGCTGGAAAAACATGACTTTCTACCCATTATGAACCAGGCTTTAGCATAAAACTTATTACGAAGCAAGTACTAGAAGTCATAGCTAAGGCTAGAATTTTGAAGTAATGCTACGCCAACAAGAGAAATCAAGGGATCTGTCAAATCTGCTATCAATTGTATGATCAGGATCTCTCTGAACCTGTTACTTGTACCTCTGTTAAAAATCACTACTATCAAAGTCACCCTTGACTAGTGTTTTGAAGATGAAATAATGGGAAAGCACTTTTAAAAGCATAAAATGCCATACACCATACAAATGCAAGAAGTTACTAAATTTTGAGTTGTTAAATTATTGTCCACTAGTAAGACTGATTAAAAATGATGTTCTTGCTGGGTATGGTGGCTCACGCCTGTAATCCCAGCACTTTGGGAGGCCAAGATGGACTGATCACGAGGTCAGGAGTTTGAAACCAGCCTGACCAACATGGGGAAACCCTGTCGCTACTAAAAACACAAAAAAAAATTAGCCAGGCATGGCAGTATGCGACTGTAAGCAATCCCAGCTACTCAGGAGGGTGAGGCAGGAGAATCGCTTGAACCCAGGAGACGGAGGTTGCAGTGAACCAAGATTGCACCACTGCACTCCCGCCTGGGCACACAAGACTCTGTCTCAAAATAATAATAATAATGTTCTTTAGAGGAAACTTTTAAATTTTAAAAGTTTTTGGAATTAAAAATCAGGATGCAGACTTAGGCCTCATATTCACTGAAAAAATACTTCACTAGTATATTTGCTTCAGAGAAATAGAAATGAACTTTTACAAAATCATTAATCTATTGCTCAAAATAAATTGATCAGACATACAAAAACAAGGAAAAAAAAATCAAAGCTTCAAACCAATCTTTAGTGGCTGCATATCACTAGCTGCCTGGGGTTGGGGAGAGAATGACTGTAAAGGGAAAGGAAGCTTTTTAGAGTGATGAAAATGCTCTATGTCTTCACATGGAAGAATACTTCAAAACTCATCGAAATGTACATTTTAGATGGGTACAATTTATGTGTGTACATTACACCTCAATAAATTTAGTTTAAAATGTTTTAAAAAGTCTATCCTGTTTCCTTAATTAAAAAAAAAATTAGTTGCACCATGATCTGAAAGATAATTTTTAAAATGAGATCTAATACAACAGGCTTGAAGATTAAATAAAACAGGCTTGAAGAGTTAAGAGGGTGACAAAACAATGAGTCAATGACAAAAAAGGGGGGGTCACTTTATGACCTTCTGGCCTCAAGGTCAACTCAGATTACGGGGGGAAAAAAAAAAACAATGGAGACATAATCAAGGTTGGGGGAGGGGTACGGAGAGAAATCTCAGCTTCTAGTCAGGACGACAAAAACCAAAAGCGGTATTACTTCAGAAGGCACGTTGGAAAAAGCACAGATGTGGGTGCACTTCAGACCCAGATTCAATGGACCTAGGCCGTTAAGTGTATGACCTTGAGTTCTCAACCCGAGCCTCAGTTTCCCTTTCTCTAAAATGGAGATAATGGTGGCTTAGAGTTTAGCCGAGCACCCAGCAAGTGCTCAACACATAATAGATGATCTTATGTAAGGCACCAGAACTCGGAGCTGACTGGAAATGTATGCAGACTAAAGACCTCTCCCCCAATCCCACCCCAGTTTCCCTCTGAGAGTCCTGGTCCCTTTTCTACGCCTTATCGCCCCTAGTCAGGCCTCCCTTCCTTCCCAAATACCCTCCACACAGCCCTTTCACCCCTCGCCCCGGCAGCTCCAGAAGCCTCCCACCTCCCGGGCCCCACCTCATTGAGGAAGCGGGTGACATCGTAGACTCGCCCATGGATTACAAGCCACAGTTCCTTCAAGGAGTTGCGCTTCGCCACCTCCTCCAACCGGTAATAGGTGGCTGAGGTGTCTACCTCCTGCTCTTTCCCATCGCTGCCGCTAGCTTCCGCAGTCGCCATTGAACCGGACATACCGCCTCTCCACAGCTAACTGGGATTCCGCTACTACCTTCCTTAAGAGCCCGCGCTCAGCTTTCCTCGGCTTCCGTAGCTAGGGCCCATAAGACCTTGGGAAAGTTCCTAGCAACAGCCAATCACGCTTCCGAAAACAAGGGGGCTCAGTTCGAAATCCCGCCCACTCCTCGCCATCTCCAGGTGAAAGTGTGGTTCGAGGTCCAACTAACCAATCAGGATAGTTCAACCTCCAACCTCACCAATCAGATGCCTTGATTTTTAGAATGGCGCCGAAAAGAGGAGTGCTGACAGGTGTCACCTCAGGAGAGGTTCCCCTTCGCTCAGCCTGCGGGCCTGTAGGGTCTCCAGTGCTCCGCTTCCCCTCCCTTCGCTGTAACTTTCTGCTGAGTCTCAGGAAGCTCGTTTCCCCCACACTACCGGCGCAGTCTGTATCCCAACCCTGATTTTACATCTTTGCTGCCTCCAGTCCGTGATCTGACCAATCCTGTCTTTCTAATGCTCAGTTTCCCCATCAGTAAAATGGACTTGATAAGCTCTCTCTTACAAAGGAGTTTGCCTTTTTTTCTTTTTTTTTTTCTGAGACAGGGTCTCGCTCTGCCCCTTAGGCTGGAGTGCCGCGGTGTGATCTCGGCTCACTGCAACCTCCACCTCCCAGGTTCAAGTGATTCTCCTGCCTCAGCCTCCCGAGTAGCTGGGATTACAGACATCCGCCACCACGCCCCGCTAATTTTTGTATTTTTAGTAGAGATAGGGTTTCACCCTGTTGGCCAGACTGGTCTAGAACTCCTAATCTCAGGTGATCCGCCCACCTCGGCTTCCCAAAGCTCTGGGATTACAGGCGTGAGCCACCGTGCCCGGCCGTGTTTGCCCATTTAAATGAGTGCCCGTAAAGCGCTTGGCGCATAGTAATCGCTAAATATGGTAGCCGATCAGAAAGGCAATTGCTTTCCCGTGTTGGGACAGCAATTGAGAGTAGAGTGTGGAGTACCCCACGTTTCTACCACCATTCAGAATCCGATTTTCAAACGAATTCTGTGATGATCAGGATCAATCTGCACTATTTTAGTCTCTACGTGATCTAAAATAGAATTGAATTCAACTGCTCCCCGCTAGAGGTCTTGGCACTTTGGAATTTCAAGTTTGATTAATGCGTTGTGCACCACTTTTTAACTGCCATTGTAACTGACAGATTGCTCTTCCTATAATGTCATTTTCATCCTGTCACTCTCGCAGTCTACCATTCAGGGCTTTCCACAATCCATTCGCAACCTCTTTCACTAACATATAATATTTTCCACCATTCCCTTTATAAGCCTGTTGCACCAGCCCCGACTCCGAAACCTGCTGGTGTAAAACCACACCAGTGGTCATCTCAAGTCCACCAAGTTAAGGATATTCTCTTCCTTCCAATGCCCAATGCCCTTTCAAGTTCCTCTTCAGTTTCTTCCTTTTTCGCAAACTCTTCTCCTACGGCTCTGAGCTCCAGTGGTTCCATCCCTTTGTAGTACATAACGAAGTGTATTACTGTTTTGGGAAACCTGCTACCTCCATAAATTTTAACTTTAGGCAGGGCACAGTGGCTCACATCTGTAATCCCAGCACTTTGGGAGGCCAAGATGGGAGGATCACAAGGTCAGGAGATCCAGACCATCTTGGCCATGGTGAAACCACATCTCTACCAAAATATTTAAAAAAAAAAAAAAAATTAGACGGGTGTGGTGGCGTGTGCCTGTAGTCTCAGCTACTCAGGAGACTGAGGTAGGGGAATCGCTTGAATCTAAAAGACAGAGGTGGCAGTGAGCTGAGATTGCACCCCTGCACTCCAGCCTGGCAACAGAGCAAGACTTTATTTTAAAAAATAAAAATTAACTTTACATATTTTGCTTCCCTAGTTAGACAGACACTATGAATCTGTCTCACAAGATTCTTAGGATCCTCCACAAACTCTAGATTCAAATATTTACATTTATTCCAGACATTTACTGTTTACTGTTACAAGTCTTAATGATAGGCCGTAAGAAACAAAATCTCTGAAAGAAAGAAAAACATTTACAGGCGGAACGCAGCGGCTCAAGCCTGTAATCATAGCACTTTGGGAAGCCGAGGTGGGCAGACTACTTGAATCCAGGAGTCAAGACCAGGCTGGGCAACATAGTGAGACTCTTTGTCTCTACAAAAATTAGCTGGGCATGGTGGCACACACCTATAATCCTGGTTATTTGAGAGGCTGAGATCTGAGGGAGCCTTGAGCCTAGGAAGTTGAGGCTGCAGTAAACTATGATCACACCATTGTACTCCGGCCTGGGTAACAGAGCAAAATCCTGTCTCAAAAAATAATAATAAATGAATTAAAATTTAAAAATTTACAAATTCTAGCACTTAAGTGACATTTTATTTGAATTTTTTTTTTTTTTTTTAGAATTTCAAACAGGTAAGTTGCAAGAATAATAAAATGGATGACTGTATACTTTTTTTTTTTTTGAGACAGAGTTTCGCTGTTGTTACCCAGACTGGAGTGCAATGGCACAATCTCGGCTCACCACAACCTTCGCCTTCTGGGTTCAAGAAATTCTCCTGCCTCAGCCTCCCAAGTAGCTGGGACTACAGGCGTGCACCACCATGCCCAGCTAATTTTTGTATTTTTAGTAGAGACGGGGTTTCACCTTGTTGACCAGGATGGTCTCGATCTCTTGACCTCGTGATCCACCCGCCTCGGCCTCCCAAAGTGCTGGGATTACAGGCTTGAGCCACCGTGCCCAGCCGACTGTATACTTTTAACTTAGGTTTACCAATTGTTAATATTTTTCAATATTTTATTTCTTCCATATATATTTTGATCTTTGTTTGATCATTGTTGTTAATAGTGCTGAACTAGTTCAGATATCACCACCCTTTACAGCCAAATAATTCTACACGTATCTTCTAAAAATAAGAATATACTGTTACATAACTACAGTATGATTTTCAAATTCAGAGAATTTAACATTCACACAAAACTATTATCTCATATACTCTCCATATTACTTTCCATTATTGCATTCATGTTCCTTGTAGAATTTTAGTGTGTCTGTACGATCCAGGATCTGATTCAGGATCATTTATTGCACTTATCTGTGTCTCTTGAGTCTCCTTTAATCTGGAACATTTTGTTAACCTTGCTTTTTCTTTCATGACATTGACATTTTTAAATAGTATAGCCTCAAACTGAATTTTTTTTTATTTTTTTTTGAGACAGAGTTTTGCTCTGTAGCCCAGGCTGGAGTACCATGGCAAGATCTAGGCTTACCACAACCTCTGCCTCCTACATTCAAGCAATTCTCTTGCCTCAGCCCCCAGAGAGATTACATGCATGCACCACCACACCTGGTTAATTTTTGGTATTTTTGGTAGAGATGGGGTTTCTCCATGCTGGTCAGTCTGGTCTAGAAATCCCGATCTCAGGTGATCCACCCACCTTGGCCTCCCAAAGTGGGATTACAGGAGCGAGCCACTGTGCCCGGCCTCAAATCGAATTTTATACTGAAAAATTATTGTGGCCTACATGTTTTGGTTATAAATTCGTATTCACCATTTATAGCACATGTTAGCCAGAAAGTCTGGCTTGAAATATTTGTCCCTGCCACTCGCAAACTTGGTGACCTTGGGCAGGTTTCTCAGCTTCTTTTTTTCCATGGGGTCACCCACTTGTTCCAGCACCATTTGATAAAAACATAATTCCCCCTTGAATTGTTTTCCTGTCTTTGTCAAAAATTGATCATATTAAATATAGTTCTCTTTCAGCTGAAGTTTCTATTCTGTTCCAATGACTTATTTGTTTATCCTTATGCCAATTCCATAGTCTTAATTATTATAACTTTTGTAGTAAGGCATTAAATCAGGTAATATAAGTCTTATAGCTTTGTTCTCAACTTTTTTTTTATATATGAAGTCTTGCTCTGTCACCCAGGCTGGAGTACAATGGCACCATTTCAGCTCACTGCAACCTCTGCCTCCTGGGTTCAAGCAATTCTCCTGCCTCAGCCTCCCAAGTAGCTGGGACTATAGGCACCCACCACCAAGCGCGGCTAATTTTTTGTATTTTTAGTAGAGACGGGGTTTCACTGTGTTAGCCAGGATGGTCTCGATCTCTTGACCTTGTGATCTGCCTGCCTCGGCCTACCAAAGTGCTGTGATTATAGGGGTGAGCCACCCCAGCCGGCATCAACTTTTGAAAATTATTTTTGCTATTCTAGATCCTTTGATTTTCCACATACTTTTTTTTCCCCACTTTTGTCACCCAGATTGGAGTGCAATGGCATAATCTCAGCTCACTGCAACCTATGCCTCCCGGATTCAAGAGATTCTCCTGTCTCAGGAGTACCTGGGATTCAAGAGATTCTCCTGTCTCCCAGTACCTGGGATTACAGCCCCACCACCACTACCACATTCAGCTAATTTTTGTATTTTTAGTAGAGATGGGGTTTCACCATGTTGGTCAGGCTGGTCTTGAACTCCTAACCTCAGGTTATCCACCAACCTCAGCTTCCAAAAGTGTTGGGATTACAGGCGTGAGATACCGTGCCCAGCCCCACATACATTCTAAAATTAGCTTGTTGACCAAGTGACCAAATTAAAACATCTCCATAATAAATCATGGTGACAGCATGTACCCCCTGGTGTGATGTGATGAAAAGGGCTTGTTGTCACTGTGGCATTCTTCCACAAAACCCATAATCATAGTCCAAGCATGGGAAAAACATCAGGTAAACCCAAACTAAGGGACATTCTACATAATGCCTGACCAGTACTCCTCCAAACTGTCAGGCTCATTAAAAATATATATATATATATAAAGGAAAGACTGAGAAATTGTCATAGACTCAAGTAAACGAGGAAGACATGCCAGTTCAATACAGTGTAGTATCTTGGACTGGATCCTAGAACAGAAAAAGGGCACTAGAGAAAAGCTAGTGAAATCCAAATAAGACAGTAAGGTACCAGTGTTGATTTCTTACTTCTGATGAATGTATTATGATAACATAAAATGTTAACATTATGGGAAATTGAGAGAGTATACAGAAACTCACTGTATGATTTTTGCAACTTTTCTGTAAGTCTAAAATTATTATAAAAATAAAGGTTATTAGGGATATGAAATCTTACCATGTATATCATAGATGACTAA